CTTTGCTCTGATTTTTATCCAGGGCAAAGCTTGACGCTGCTTCCACATCTGCGCTTAAAATGAATTTGTGAGTAAAATTTAAAGCAGACAGAGCTGACCAGGAGAGATTAAAATGGGGATTATTCTGAGACTTTAACTCTGGAAAAGAATTTATCTTTTCCTTTTTTTTCAAGAATGGTGAAAAATGGTGCTGAGATGTTGATTCTTTGAGTGAAAGGACCGGAATTCTATTTGAAACAATGTAACAGATTTTGTATTTATATAAAATGTAAGAATTTTCTTTTTTCTTTTAAGGGGGCTTTTGTCTTTTTTCCTCCCCCCCTTTTTTGGTATTTGTTGATTTTAAAAGATTTTAGCAGACTTTTTAACAAGTGGTCTTAAAAATAAAATGGCTTCAAAGCGTCTTGGAGCTTCTGTTGTTTCTAAAGCCTCGATCTTCCCGGTAATGCAGACAGCTCAGCAAGTTAAGTTTAAGTTACCACCACCTTCTCCATTGTTACCAGCATGTATACTTAAAGATTTACGGGATGCCTTGGGAAATAAGGCACGACAGATTAAGGAAGAGATGGAGGAATTTCTTGAAAATAAAATTAGGGAACTAAGAGAGGACATTGCGTCTGTGTTTCAAAAGTTTGTTGGTCATATAGATCGTCTGGATGATCGTATTGATGATGTTGTGGAAAATTTTGAAAAACTGGAAGATCGAATTGATAAAGTAGAAAATAAGGTAGAAATAACACAGGATGAAATTACTATGTTACAATATAGAGACATGGAATTTGCTTTAAGAATAAGGGGAATGAAGGAAAACACACAAGAAGATTTGAGACAAGTGGTGGTAAAAGATATAACTTTCATTTTGGGTGCTGAGCCTGAAGAAATATTGAGAGAGACGGAAAAAGTTTTTAGGGTTTATTCAAGGGTTGTAAGGTAGAGGAATTTGCCACAAGACGTAGTTATTTATTTTTCTAAGAGATCACTTCGTAATGAAATTTTACACGCTTTTTATAAGCAGAGATTTTAAATTGCAACTCAAGATGTTATAATTTTAAAAGAAATACCTTCAAAAATTCTTAGAAAAAGAAAGGATTTTGCTTTTTTGGCTGATGAGCTCAAAAAACGACAGGTCCGGTTCAGATGGGAGATACTGGCTGGAATAGCAGTGAATTATGCGGGGATATATCATAGACTTAATACAATTTCAAAGGCGAGAGATTTTTACACTTCTGTTTTGAAGGCGGGCTCTCCATCATCTTTGCAACCTGAGATTATAGAAGAAAAGTTGGAAAGGCAGCCGGTTGATGTAGGAGACATACAGGCTGAACCTCTGCAGCAGTCTCTTGTGACAAAAGATTTTTTAAAGAAACCGACAATGACTCGTGCAGCTTATAGACGTAAAGTAAAAGAACAGCAGAAGGCGAATGTTGGAATAAAGAAAAGGAAATGATGAACTTTTGTAGTAGTTTTTTGAGATAGAAGATGTTTTAAAGGAATAGTGAATGATTTGTGTAATATGTAGATGTAAAGAAAAAGAACAATAAATGTTAGTTTAGCTGGTAGTTTGATTTAGTATGTTTTAAAGGAATAGTGAATGATTTGTGTAGTATATAGATGTAAAGAAAAAGAATAATAGAAGGTGTCGATTTAGTGGAAAAGTTTAAATATTTGGGAATATATATATTATAAATTTTTAATTTAAAGTGTATAAAAATAATTATGAGATATTATGGGTAAATGTGTAAAAGAATTTAAATTCTAATGATCTCTGTTGGTGAGAATTTTAGTGATTAAGATGAATGGTTTGTTGAAACTTCTTAAGTAGGAGGGTATTAATAAATTTACTTAGGGGTGGGGAAAAAAAGCAAATAGCCAAGTTTATCGAATATAAGTTTGTTGGTTGGGTTATATTGGAGGGAAAATGTTGTGTTTATTATGGATGAATGGTTGTTTAAAAGAAATATACACGTCAGCATGGAGAAGATGGATAAATTATATGTAGAGTAAATATGGGTTAGAGTTGATATGGGATTAAAAAGTATTATTTAGATTATGAATAATTTTTAGTTTTTAATTTGGAATTGCTTATATTGTTCTTTTTTTAATTTGCTTAAATTTGTTTTGTATTCGAGTTAAAGCACATTATTGATTTTGTTATTTGTATAGTTGGATAAGTTTATTTAGAATTTGCTTGTTTATTTGTAACCCTGTAACCAGCTCTGGGAAGTGAGGGGGGAGGGAGGGAGGGGGTTATTTTAGGGGAGGAGATATTGTTAAAAACTTGTATAAAACTTTTCAATAAAAAAAATTGTCCCAGAACAATTGTCTTGATTTCAATGTCAGTGCTGTTGCTGTTATTCAAAGCCATCTCAGGATTTTATGACTACTGGCACACCCATGGGACTGCCCAGAAAATTGTAGGCAGTTTTAATTGAGAGCGGGATCTCCACTGCTTTGAAAAAGGGAAGTTTTGAACAATTGTCATCTAGTTGTAAATATCCCTTGGAGAAGATGAATGAGCATACCTGAATAAAATACAGTAATTTTAGACTGTCTTGAGGGCTGAATAGAGCTAGGAAACTACTCTTAATTGTCCCTGCTTAGTGGCCTATATTGTGAGAAAGACATGAGAGTTCTAATTGTGTTATAAGCAATGAATGATAGAATGGTTCTTCTTTCAGGGGTTCTCAACCTTGGCAACTTTAAGACTTGTGGACTTCAACTCCCAGAATTCCTCAGCCAGCTTTGATAATGGGATATGGTTGGAATAAGTCAGTGTATTGGCTGTTGAAGGAACAGTTGTATGATGGATCCATTCCTACCTGCAGGATCATTACCAGAAAGTAATTTTTTGACTCCATGGCACTTGAATGAGGAAATTAGGCAAAGTTTCATTCTTTGTTTCCTACTATTTGTTATCTCCATGAAGTTCCTTGCTGATGATCAAAGAAGAATTTGTAGGCTGCCGTTGCATTTTAAGTTCATAGTTCCTTAAGTTTATATTGAAACCTGGGATTTTGGTTTGTATTTGTTGGTCATGTTATGATGGCTAAGCTTATTGTATGGATATAAGTTATTTTATAATTTAATAAAGATAAGAATAGATCTTCATGGGCTAAAATGGGTCTGCAACCCCCGTACCATGGACCAGCCTGATTGAGAACCAAGCTGTGCAAGTGGCGGGTGAGCACAGAAAGCTTTATTTGTGCATGCGCAGAATTAGGTTGTGTGTGTGTGCAGCCATACTGCCCCCTCTGCCCCTCACAGCCACTGCCGCCATGCTGCCAGCCCACAGACCCAAAAAGGAACTGTGGGCTAAAATTCACTTTGCAGTTTGAGTTATTCTTTTTTGCTCCTCTACTGGCTTGTGGATAGTAGGAACATGTTATAATCTGAGTAAAGTTGTTGTTCTTTGCTTGTTTCCTTAGAAATATGGGGCTTTGATATGAGTTATTAGGATATCGCTATCTGATCATTTTGTGTAATAAACAATGAATGACAGAAGATCTTATAAGATTAACCATTACTGCACTCTTGAAATACCTGGAAAAATAATCTGGCAACTAAAAACATAATGTCATTTAAGTTCAAAAGCATAAGACCTTTTCCATTCTAAATGGAATTCATGTAATCTTTTTTTTCCATCAACAATATTTACTTTTCTGGCAAAATTCAGAGGCTACAAGAAATGGTCTATCTTTTGACTCAGAACTAGCCACCAAATAAATAGTTTTGCACATTCTCTGCTTTTAACAATGCTTAAGACATTTTCAGAAACTTCTGGTATTTTTTTTTAATAAATTCTCAGCTAGAATAATAATACTGTCAGCATCCTTGTGAATGAATTCAGCCTGGTGGGTGTGGTGTATATATGTCATAGTGAACTATTTTTCTGTAAAGTTAAATATTGTTGATAGCTCTGGGTCAAAAGCAAAATAACAATGTGATGTGATATATCTACATCAATATATAGATGCAGATCTCTCTCTCTCTCTCTCTTATCCATCTATTCATCCACCCACCCACCCTCACATACGTACACACATACACACACACACACGTACACACATATATATGGACACACACACACAAATTATCAGGAGTATGTCTGAAGCATGTATTATTCCTTTGTAAGTATGTTCTTCTACAGTTTGTACTAAAAATACTATTGGATATCTTGACAAAGTATTTGCTACTGCATGTGTTTTGTCTCAGTGATATTCAGTATGTTACATAATTGTCTGGAGAAAAAGTTTCTGGCATTTCATCAGCATCTTACCCAATGTTTCAATGGATCCAGTGATTTAAGTTTTATATACAGTTAAAAGGATTTCAATTTATATAAGTACCATGTGAATTGTTTACATATCAACCCTGCTGTAAATTCTCTATTTGGGTATAGAGAGATCTATAGATTTTTTAGACTTATAAATGTTTTGGAGCAGTAGACTACGGTTTCAGCTCTTGTTGATTTTGAGGCAATATTGTGTTTATTTCATAGCTGCTAGAATTGCACTCAAAGCAGAACAACACAGAATGCAAGTATTGGGGTTTAAATTATAAATTGGTAGCATCTCCTTTTTCCAACCTGTACTCTATTATATTTTTGCTCACGTTTTAAAAGTCTAGATATTTTTAATGAACCAGATAGGGAAACAATAATTTATCTAATTGGTATATGACTTTGTTGTAAGAATTAAGCAATTTTAATTATTTGAGAATGTTTTTAATATTTAAGGCAAATTAGTATAATACTATGATTTTAATGCTAGTAGAAAAGCAACATTTTGACTTATAACATTTAGTATATTATTAGTGGGTTTTTTAACAGGTTAATGACATCTAAAAAACTGCTAAATGAAATTGTTTGTTAAATCCTATTTTATGCAAGTAATACATTTCCTGCAATTAAACTACTGAATGCTGAATTTATTAAATGAAACTAAAAAATGTAGCACTTTCAATTCACATACCTACAATAAAGCAATCTTTCTGTTTTGCAGTGTAATGTTCAGGTTCAGAAATGCCTTATGTGGATCGTCAAAATCGTATTTGTGGTTTTTTAGATATTGAAGAAAATGAAAACAGTGGTAAATTTCTGCGGAGATATTTCATATTGGATACAAAAGAAGATAATTTGGTATGGTATATGGATAATCCACAGGTAAACTTCAACGGTCTTTTCACATTGTTTATATAAATTCGATAAACATTATATTTATTAATGTAATTTTAAAAATTGGTGCAAGTTTCTGAAAGGTTCTGAAAATACTAATGTTAATCATTTCATACTTTTGATTGTGCTAAATATTTCTTTTCATAATTCAGCTAATAATCATTTAAAACTTGTATATCTTTATATTGTGGAAAAGTAGCTGAAATCCCCATCAATTTATAAAGCAAGGGATAAAAAAAGCTGCAACATGAAACATCACTCATTGCTGAATCTAATTTTATGTGATAGAAATAAATGAATATCTTAGCAAATGTATAAATGGGATAATGGTACATATTATTTGATTATGGACTAAAATTGACAGTTGGGTATTATTCAGAGAAATGTAGCATTAAGAGTAGATTCCACCTGAAATCTACCTACAAAATAATTGCAGAATTTTGCTACTAGTGATAGTATGCAGTAGTGCAGTTGCCATTAACTAACAAAACAAAGCTTATCAGAACGTTATAGTTGTTCCTCGACTTATGACTGGTCACTTATTGATAGTTCAAAATTACAAAAGATCCCAAAAGCACTTTTGGCCATTGTAAAGTGTCATTCCACAACCCTCTCCCCTCCCACAGTTACATGATCACATTTGGGCAGTTGGCAATTGGCTTGTCTTTACGAAGGGTTGATTTTCAATTATTTTTACCATAAAGAACATTCATTCATTCATTCAGAAGAAACTAGGAAAAATGGTTTGCACTTATAAATGTGGCATTCACTTAATGACTGTGGATTCACTTAATGACACTGCAAAAATATAAAATTGCATCTGGTCATGTGTGTGCTTTGATTTATGACCTTAATGAGTTACACCAGAAATCCAGTCCCAGTTATGGTTTTAAGTCAAGAATATTCTTGTATTTTTAACTACAGAATCTTCCCTCGGGATCTCCTCCAGTTGGATCTATTAAGCTCACCTACATTTCAAAGGTATCTGTATGCTTCTCAGATTACTTAATTTCTAAATTCATAATGGATAACAATAACTATTCACTTAGGAGTACTTTTAAAAAGTTGTTAAACATTTGCTTCTGTTTTATAATTAAGTTAAAAGAATACTTCTTGGGGTGTTTTAAAGATAAGGTATTGTACAAAGCATTGATCCAATACATTGTGATACTCTGTGCTTTCGATCCATTTCAACCCTGAGCTGCAAATATTGCCCCTTATTGGTACAGTATGATTTTGCATAAAAAACCCTTCACATCTGTATTTCATATCATCTGTGCTTTGTGTTCAAAACTGGAGTGGTAATTATATTTAACTAAGTATGTAATCTATGCTTAAAAATTGATTTCTTTAAACAAACTAGTGAAACCAGTTTTTACACAAGTTGTATGCAGATAATGATGGTTGGTTAAATAAATCAGATGTACAAAGTGCTAATATCTGATATTTAAAGTTTGTAATATTACTGGATGCATTTTTATTGCAATTTTAAATTTTAAAAAGTGTGCTTAGGTCAACATATTGAAATTGTATGTAAATGTTTTGGCACAACTGGTATGTATTTCAGTAAATTCCTAAGTGAAATTGTATTTCGGGGAATTCCTTAGTGAGTAAAAGCTTATACAGTCGCTACATAATACAAAAACATTATCTTTTTGTGAGTCTAAAAATGTACTTGCTATTAATGTGTAGTTGTTTACAGATTCAAAATAAAACACTGGGACTGTGAAAGCCATCTCAACATTTTTGTTACTTTCCCTGAAGTACTTCATTGTGAATTTGGTGGTGTGTTTCAGTTCATTGTTTTCCTGGAAGCTCTTTTACTGTTGAAGTGTCTTCACAGACACGGGAACATTGTTCTAGGATACAATGGTTTGCATATTAATCCATCTTTCCTTATACTTACACAATATTTCCTGTATCGCTGGCTTCTGTGTAGTTCCAAAGCACAATAGACCACTTTACAATCAACAGGGTGTTTTTTTTTTTTTTCTTTAGAGTCTTCTTTCTTCTTTTACCGCAAACATTTCACACTTCTCCATATTTTAGACAAGGGCTTTTATGCTACAGTTAGCCTTACGAAGATTTTCTGATGCAGTTTTTCTGTTCTGGAGTACTAATCCAGAATTAGCTGCACTTTTCAGCCATTTGTTTGCAACAATCTATAGCTCCTGTTTTATATATTTGACTTGTTTGGGGGAAGTTTAGTGAAAGATTTTTATTCTTTTCTCAGATCTTGCCTTGACCCTATTTCTTAGCCACATTTTTCACCATTCAGATTGTAAGCTGGAAGCATTTCAAAATGTGGCCTCTCCATGTTTTGCAAGAGTCAGTTGTCTTCAAATTCAGATGGTTAAATAGCTATTTAGAGGAGCAAGGAGACAGAACACCAGACACAACCTAATAAAATAGAAGGGTCAGAGTAGTTGTAGGATTGTACTATAGGCCTAATATGGCAATCATGTTTCAGAGCCTTATTAAGAAGTTTACAGTACTCTTAGAGAATAAGAGAGAAAAAAAACCTAGTATCAATTCAGTTGGAAGGGTTTACACCTACTATATTTACATTTTCCTTATTTTGAATGTGTAAACAATTGCATAATAGATATGCATTCAGATTTTCAAAATGCCAGGTTTAATTGTGTACTGTGTACAGACTACCATTTTTTTTATTTAGAGATTCATTGATCCTCTCAACCCCAACCCTTAAAGACCGTCTCTATCCCCACACCTTAGACTTGGATGAACTATTGTATGTGTCTTCTGTGGACAGTATTTATGCTGTATAACTAGCTACATTTTTCCCCACAGTACATTGTTATCATTGGTTTTGATATATTGTTTCTATCTTTAATTTTTGTAAACTGCCCAGAGTTATAATGAATAGATGTTCCTGGAAATTTAAATTATAAACAAATAAATAAAAATTTTCAACTAAAGGTACAAAACCACTTGTATATATTTTAGAATAGGTATTTGGTAAAGAAACTCCATTATTCTCAAAATATAATAATAATAATATTAGTAGTAGTAGTAGTAGTAGTAGTAGTAGTAGTAGTAGTAGTAGTAGTAGTAAAGTTGGAAGGGACCTTGGAGATCATCTAGTCCAACCCCCCACTCAGGCAGGAAATGGGCAGGTTCTCAGTAACATAGTTCTGCCACCTGTTATCAGTCTTTGAGGTAGACAAGGTCAAGAAACAAGCCTGGGTTGAAAAAGGCAGTGGTGCATTTTCCTCTTAAGAAGAAGTTCAACCAGGCAATTTTGGGCATGTAGCCAGTCACCAATTGATCATAAAGGAAGATAATAATAATAATAATAATAATAATAATAATAATAATAATAAAGTTTGGAAGGGACCTTGGAGGTCATTGAGTCCAACCCCCTGCTCAGGCAGGAACCCTACACCATTTCAGACAAATGGCTATCTAGTTTCTTCTTAAAAACTTCCAGTGTTGGAGCATTCACCACTTCTGGAAGCAGATTGTTCCACTGGTTAATTGTTCTAACTGTCAGGAAGTTTCTCCTTAGTTCTAAGTTGCTTCTCTCCTTGATCAGTTTCCATCCGTTGCTTCTCGTCCTGCCTTCAGGCGCCTTAAAAAATAGCTTGACTCCCTCTTCTTTGTGGCAGCCCCTGAGATATTGGAACACAGCTATCATGTCCCCCCTCATCCTTCTCTTCGTTAAACTAGACATACCCAATTCCAGCAACCATTCCTTATATGTTTTAGCCTCCAGTCCCCTAATCATCTTTGTTGCTCTTCTCTGTACTCTTTCTAGAGTCTCAACATCTTTTTTACATCGTGGTAACCAAAACTGGATGCAGTATTCCAACTTTGGCCTTACCAAGGCATTGTAGAGTGGTATTAATACTTCACGTGATCTTGATTCTATCCCTCTGTTAATGCAGCCTAGCACTGTGTTGGCCTTTTTGGCAGTTGCAGCACACTGCTGGCTCATATTTAGGTGATTGTCTACTAGGACTCCGAGGTCCCTCTCACAGTTACTACTATTGAGCATGGTGCCACCTATGCTGTACTTGTGCATTTGGTTTTCTTGCCTAAATGTAGAACCTTGCTTTTTTCACCATTGAATTTCATTTTGTTAGTTAGTGCCCAGTGTTCAAGTCTGTCCAGATCCTCCTGTATCTTAAGCCTGTCTTCTGGAGTATTGGCTATTCCTGCCAGCTTGGTGTCGTCTGCAAATTTGATGAGTTCCTCATCTATCCCTTCATCCAAATCGTTGATGAAGATGTTGAAGAGCACTGGGCCCAGAACAGAGTTCTGGGGCACTCCACTACACACTTCCCTCCATGTAGATGCAGTTCCATATGCCTGCAAGTTTTTTTTATGCAAGTTGACTTCTCTTTGCTTTAGATTTATCAAAGTTCTGTAGCAGTATTACTGATCAACATTTCAAAACTTCCATAGTTTGAAAGAATTGAAAGTCATTTCGTTTTTTCCAAATCCATTTTCAGTGAAATGGATTCAATGAAAATTCAGAACAATAAGAGACAATAACTCAAAGGGCTTCTGATACAATAATAATCATATAATTATTTTTGAACTTACATTTTTTCTAACATGAAATAATATATTAAAAATAAACATATTGGTTGGTTTTATTGGCCGCTGATATAGTATTTGTTGTGTAAGGAAAGATGTATTCTGGATTAATTATATAATTTTCTGGTATTAAATTTTATGGCAATTCACATTTCAAGCTTTTTTTATTTGTCCATGATAAATAAAACTTATATAATAATGTCAGATAATAAAACATCCTTTGCTTATTGTTATATCACTAGTTTCTGTTTGGCTCCAGTTTTATCAAGAAATTAAATTAAGGTATTCTTTCATCAATGCCACTGAACAAATTTGTGATAAAATATGTTTATTAACTAGAATGGGTATTTCCAGAAAGCTAGATTTTTATTAAATGGATATGATAAGTAGCAGTGAATGGCTAAGTATGAAATATGTAAAATAGATAAGGTGGGGAAGAATTGGTACAACTGTGCATTGAATGTTGCAAAGAAGATTCAGAAGATAAGCAGTTATGTTTTAAGATGAGTGACTGTATAAATCTTTTAAACAAACTAGAGCACCATGTTATTTATGTTCCTTCCATTTCAAACAAAAGGGGGGGGTGAGGGGGTAACCCATGATGCAAGTGATCAGCAAATGTAAGATCACGAATGCAAGTTACAATTGGAAAAATGAGATGGCACAAGAGGACAGTTACAATTCTGGATTTAATGAATGAGCTTGTAGAAAGTTCAAAAACAAAGTATTACTCTGTGCTAGTTTAAAGAAAGATGTGCTTTCATTATAGGATACTTTATTCAGATCCATTTTTCCTCTGGGCTGTGAATAATTAATAGGGATGTAGAATCTTGGACATAGCTAAACAATAACTCTTAATAGTCCCAGGTACTATGATCAAGTGCAAGGAATGCTGTGAATTACAGTTCACAGGAGATCAGAGATTACATTAGTACATAGAAGGAATATGATATATTTTTGATAGGAAATTTATATACTTACAGGGTGGCTTGCTGCCTGTAAACTAAGATTTTGTAGAGGTTTACTCAACAAATTTATATGGCCACCCAACTCACACATGATTAACTTTTCAGGAAGAATGGATCAGTGGAAGAATACTAGAGAACATATAAAACAGAGATAAAAATTTGCTATTCTTGCATCAGTCCACTGCTCCATTTCATAGATCCAAATGAATAGTAGTATGCTTGATTTATCTACATCAATAAACTTATATTGGAATATATAGTATTTATACATGCTACACCACATAATGCCAGTGTTTTCAATTTGTTAGGTAAGTGATGCAACTAAATTGAGGCCAAAGGCAGAATTCTGTTTTGGTAAGTTTTAAAAAGGCTTTAAATTATGCACCATAAATCATTTTTGGAAAGCTTTTTCATGTTAAAACATAGATATTTTTGAATGCTAGTTTATTAATATTCCGTTTTCTTTCCAATATAAAGAAAACAATATTTTTTTTAAAAAATGAAAATCCAGTATTTCATGGAACAAATATTAAAAGAGTGATTCTGCTGATTCCCTAATAAAAATGGCAGCTACCAATGGTATATATAAGAATTAATAACTTAATATTTTTGTTTTACAAGTTTGGTTTTGAATTTTGCTTATTATAGCATCTTTTTGGCTTGCTTTTGGAGGTTTATCTTCTTGGTTTTTGAAAAAAAAATCCTAAAATATAGCTTGGTAACCATTTTAATAAATTGAGTATTAGGTTATTAGACATTAGGGGACTAAAAAAATCTAAAGAAAACAAAAGATCTAGTCTATATTTCTGTTCATGAATTTGCAGTATATGTGCTAATATCAAAAATTATGGCCCCTTACATTTGTCTAGACAAACAAAGTGATAATGTCTTTACTTTTTATACACATTCATATAAAATTTATATCTATCTGTAAAATTTTTTCCCAACAGTAATGAATGCAGGAATGAGGAAATACTTTTTACAAGCCAATGATCAGCAAGACTTAGTTGAATGGGTAAATGTCCTGAACAAAGCTACCAAAATCACAGTAAGTGATCTTTTTTAATTCTAGGATTATTCTGCATAGGGTCTCATTATAATGGGATAAATAAAAGAACTTTCATTTGTATTTTAGGTTTATATTATTTTGGCAGATTAAGATACCGTATATGCCGGCGTATTAGGCGACCCGGCGTATAAGACGACCCCCGTCTTTATCGCCGAGCCGCATTCCTAGAACGTCATCTTATACGCTGGAAACTACCAGTATTTCCAGCGTATAAGACAACTCGGCGTATAAGACAACCCCTGTCTTTGGCGCCGAGTTTAGCACGTCCGGAAGCCGTCTTATACGCCGGCATATACGGTAGTCATTTCTAACCTCTCTGGGGCAGGAGGGTACATTTGACATTTTGAAGGCACATCATGGGCACTCAAAAAAAAAAAAGGCTGCTATGGGAACTTGCCCATTTGCAAAAAGTTACACCACCCTCAAAATACTCATTATCACATCTATTTTTTCTGAGCAGTGATATTTATTTATAAGCAGAGCTTGGCTTTTAGAATTTTTTTCTGTTCTTTTAATAACAACTCAATTCTGAATCTCATGACCTACTAAGAGGAGAGTTTATGAATGTAGGAATTAACAGTATTCTGAAATTTAGTCTCATTCTGCTTTGTTTTGGGAGAGTTATCCTGCTGACAGAATTAGATGGAGTTAACCTGTTGACATTCAATTAGATTGTAAAAAAAATATCACAATTAAAAAGCAGAGTAGGACAAGGGTTCTAGCAGTCAAGAAGGTAGACTTAAGGAAATTCATTAAGATACCATGTTGAGATCCCAGGTTAGGAATTTGATGAACTCTTTTATGTATTAGTCACCATGCTTGGAACATCAGATTCTATATTTGTGCTATCATGTGGACTTGCAAATCAGAGCTATATGAAGGCAAATATTACTTAAAAACTATTTGATAAATAGCAATAGCCCATAGACTTATATACTGCTTCACAGGGCTTTACAGCCCTCTGTAAGCAGTTTACAGAGTCAGCATATCGCCCCTAACATATTGCCCTCATTTTACTGATCTTGAAAGGATGGAAAACTGAGTAGGCTGGTGAGAATCGAAGTGCATTCTAACCACTGCATCACCACAGCTCCTATGACAAAGTCAGTCAGTCTTAGATATCTATGCTCAGCATTTTAGAAAAGAAAACATTTACTCAATCAGGTAAAAATAGTTTTGATTGGAAGTTCTTTCAGTCCAAATAAATATCCTTTGGTAGAGAAATTACGTTTCTTATTGTGCTTGTTGTTACAAAGGAATCTTCTGTTTTGTTTGAAAGCATCTTGATATCATATGCAAGAATAGCTGCATCTATACCTTACACAATGAAATTAGAAAATTTTAGGTTCTATGAGAAGTAGGTGTGGTTTTGTTTGTTTTAGAATTTCTAACCCCCTCCCTGTATTTGTTGTTGTTGAGCACTTTAAAATAAAACAACAACAGAAACCATGAAAAAAATGATTTTAAAAGAATGTGAAAGAATTTCTTGCATCAATATTGATTTTAGTAAGTGATGGATAAATATACCATGTGACTTTCTTCACTATTGTTTCTGAACAATATTTCTATGCCATTTTTAATTTTTTTTTTCTGAAAATCTTCCTCATCCTGGTAAAAGAAAGAAATCCTAAAAATAATCAGTAGGAGATTTAAGACTTCACGGCTCAGCTAAGTTATTACGGGAAACTATTAAAATATTTAGCTATATACAAAGCTTTTTTAAAGCATCATTTAATAGATAGGAAAGTAAGTAATTTAACCATGTCTTAAGAAAGAGATCCAAAAGGGATACAGGAAATGATGAGCATTTGCCTCATTTCTCTCACTTGTGAGTAATTAAAAATAGATAAGAATAGTTAAATTCTGAGAGAGCCTGATTTAGAAGATACATTTCCTCTCAGTATTTTTATAATGTTCTATTTTCAGGTACCAAAGCAGGTTGACTCATTGTGTCATACTGATAATGCATTGCGTCATTCTGAAAATTTGGGAATAAGAAAACAAATGTCTTACAGAACAGAAATTGTTGGTGGTGTTCCCATAATCACTCCTACTCAGGTAATAATGCCAATTCCAAGATATATGTTGGACTTTCTATTGATGTGTAGAGACAGTGGATTTGCAAACAAGTTGAACCTGAAAAGGGAAAAAAATTGTCAAGATACCTCATTACCAGATTTTTGCAGAAGTTAAGATGCCTCTTAATTTTCACATTAGAAGAAAAAATAGACATAGTTCTTTGATGGAAAGTTTTAGTTTGCCCATATTTGCCAACTTTTTCAGTATATAATATGCTGTCTTCAGTGAAAGGAGGAAACTGACTAAATTGAGCTTGTTCTTCATATCCCCTAGTCAATGTGAAACTTATTATATATGTGTGGTTGCATGTGGTATTCTTTGAATTGTAGCTATATTATGTTTTGGATCTTTGTGCAACTCAGATAACAGGCTCACTTCCTCATGTGATAAGTTAGAATTTAAAAAGCAGTTTTTGAAGGTTGTTTATCAAATTTTGTGATGGAAAATGAAATAGTTGAGCCCTATATTTGAGGTGTACCAGGGATGTAATTCCAGAACAAAACAAGAAACTTTGTCCCCAGTATCATTAAAATGTTTGGTTTGCTTTCCAGTATACATTTATCTAGTGAAAATAATTTTTTATACCATTTATTTGATGTGAAGCATGGATGAAAGGATCATAGCTGTATAAATCTGATTCTCTAGATTTAGAAGCAAAACCAACTTTCTTTTCTTTATTTATTTTAATTTTCATTGTTTATTTTTTCTAGAAAGAAGAGAGAAATGAATGTGGTGAAACTGATAAAAACTACTTGAAACGGTCCCAAAGCCATCTTCCATACTTTACTACTAAGTATCCTCCAGACAATCCAGTTATCAAAGCAGGCTACTGTGTTAAACAGGGAGCAGTGGTAAGCACATAGAGTACATTTTGAGGTTAATAAAATCTGTTATATGGTATATAATGCAAAAGTTGTTTTTTTTAACCCATGTAGAACAGATTTCCCAAAACACTAAAGAAAGAATTTTGGAGACAAAAGGTTGAGGAAAGAGAAAAAGTTAAAGCAATATTAGTTATATGTGTTTTGATAACTTCTTGAAGAAAGGTTCTTAGAATTATTTCAATTGAGTTGTTTACCTGCAGTTAAGGTTTTTTTTAAAAAAAAAAATTCAAGACCAAGGCTTTTTCAAATTCAAGGCTTTGTTTCAGGTATCTCTAATATTTCTGCATTGATTTAGCTCATATTCTATTTTTTCAAATATGTGAGCAATAATCTATTTTGCTAACAGGGATAGAATAGAATAGAATAGAATAAAATAGAATAGAATAGAATAATAAATTGTCACTTTGAATGTACACTAATCGGCATACATTAAAATGAAATTTCATTTCAGCTCTCAAAGGGTCACCACCTCCGATATACACTTCATAAATATGACAAAAATAAATATATAAATACAGAATTATATTATTGTAATATATAAGAGGTGAAAATAGGACCATAGATAATCAACTTGAAATTATCTCTATAATGAATTTTTAGTATATATTCTCAGCATATTATCACTCACTATCTAAATGTGGAGCTGCATAGTGTATAGTAGTATGCATTACGAATTGCTGTGTATAATATGATGTATAGAAACTTTGCCACATTAAGAATTTTGACAATAGTATAATATAAAATAGTTCTTAATTTGACTTCCATTTGATGCCAAATTGGAGTCCAAGTACTTGAAAGGGCTAGCAACAGCTGCTGCAGAGGACCAATTGCTGTTTACCTCCGATATAAAGACGACTTTCCCTGTCTGAACATTGAACTGATTAATGTACTGTTTCCCAACCTTGGGAACTCTGTGGCATTCAATTCTTCAGATTCTTAGCAGTGGCCATCGTGGCTGGAAAATTTTGATTTCAGAAAACAATTTGTTTTTTTCCTCCTCTTGTGGAAGAGGGCAAGTTGTAATGGATAATTCTTGCAATCATACCTCAACTGGAGAATAAACTATCTTTTTTCTAGTTGCTCTAGTTATATAGTGCACAATCAGCTTTTCCTGCTCATTTAGAGTCATTTCATCTAAAGAATATCATAAAGGTGTGCAATATTTGAACAGTGGGAACATCCTCGCTATACCCATGTTGAATCAGAAAAATGTTTCTGATTTAAGGAGCTAGATCTGAATATTGCACAGAATGCTAAGATGAGAAAAGCAGCACTTTTAGAAATCCTAAAACCCTGTGAATAAACAATGAACAAACTAAAAATAACATATGCTTCTTTAAAATATATTTGAATTACATTATTAATTTTTTGTTTGTATACATAGATGAAGAACTGGAAAAGAAGGTATTTCCAGCTTGATGAAAACTCAATTGGCTATTTTAAATCAGAACTGGTAGGTATCCATTTATATATATTTGATTGAAAACTTGACCAAATGTGTTAATGCATAATTGCTTTGCTCCCATTATCTTGATAGAAAATTCAGTCTTTAGAATTGGAATTTAGAACATAATTGTCTTCGTATCCACTGCCTTTAATTGATAGATTTTCTAATATATAATGAATGGAGCAGTGCTTAGATTTCAATATAATGATACTATTGTCAGTTTTAATGTGGAATTACTAGTAGAGTTATCGCTTTCCATACATAACCTATTGACCTGAATAAATAATAGTGACTAAGTCATGTTTCTAAGATCTAAAATAAGAGAAACGTGAATTCTTAATCAATACATACATGTATGCACATTTCTTTTTCTGTTATGCACACTGATTTTATTCTGGATTAAAGATAAAAGTTTTAATTAAGACCGGTTCTTTTATCTATCTATCTATTCTGATTTGAACTGAGCTGTGGTGGTGCAGTGGTTAGAATTCAGTACTGCAGGCTAGCTCACTGCTCACTCCAGGAGTTTGATTCTGAATGGCTCAAGGTTGACTTAGTCTTCCATCCTTCCAAAGTTGTTAAAGTGAGGACCCAGATTGTTGGGGGCAATAAGCTGACTCGGTAAACCACTTAGGGCTGTAAAGCACTATGAAGTGGTATATAAGTGCTAGTGCTATAATGCCAATTTTTAGAATTGCATTATTTCAAGAGTGCTATCCCTGCCTCATACCAGTGGATAATTAAAACACAGAATGAGCAACTTTGAGAAAATAAAGTCAGAAAGATGTATTAAAAGAGACAGATATGAAGTTACAGAAATTTCAACAACTGGATTACTTTAATTTTATAATCCAATTTACCATGTTTTCCCAAAAAAAGACCCAACCGGAAGATAAGCCCTAGCATGATTTTTTTTAGGATGCTTGTAATATAAGCCCCACAAAAATAAGCCCCAGTTAAGATCATCAGCCAGATGGATGTATTTAGTATCGTATTTCCCTGAATATAAGCTCTAACCAGAAAATAAACTCCAATGGGTCTTTTAGAGCAAAAATTAATATAAGACTCAGCTTTATTTTTGGGAAAACACGGTATCCTTTAGTGCAGTGTTTCTCAACCTTGATAATTTTAAGGCATGTGGACTTCAACTCCCAGAATTGTCAAGGTTGAGAAACACTGCTTTAGTGTTTTAGGGCAGAGACGTTTTCATTTGCTTTTAATGTGCCTTCTATGAACCATATACTCCCTGCTTATTCCCCAAACAACAGAAGGATTCTTAGGTGTGTGTTCATGCTTGCCCAGGTCTCTTCTGGATCCTTTTCAAGTAGTGAACCTATCATTTTATGTACTCCCATATTTAGAAGCCTGTCCCCTGTATTGGACATATGTAAGATATACAAAAAAATACTTCAAACAGAACCACACACCAAAGCCTGTAGATATATGAAATCCTTTACTGCAGATAATAATGCCTATATTTTCTAACTAGGAATAATGGAACCAGAGATAATAAGGATGGCTTAAAGTGGTGGATTTTTTTTTCCTTAAAAAAGGTAGAAAGCAATTTTAAAAGACACTAAATTAGAATATTAGAAAAATGTCCACTCCCTTTAACCCTAGTTTCTTAGTACCATAGACAACCACTCTTGTTAATTTAAAACACTGAAACATTTTCAAATAAAACAGCAGATTTAATTTGTTTTGTATTAATAATATATTTTAATATCTTTTCTAAACAATGTTGCATGTCATATTGTTTTATAACTGAACAGAGAATTATATACTCTTTGATTCACTCATGCTTTGTAATTATTCTTGCATATACCATATACTGCATTGTATATTTTTCTTTTTTAAGTAGAAGTAATGATTTCTGAAACATAATTTATCTTGTGACTATTGTTGATGTCAGTTTGTAAAGTTAAGTATGAAAAATGTAGACTTGTGCATATGGCTGGGGTTTTTATTTTTGTTGTTGCTATTCTTTTGTCCTTTTAGTTTTTGTTTGTGCTTTACTCAGTCTTGATCAGCTTTAGTCTCAAAAATTTCCATGACAGATAAGTAGCAATAAAGGTCTAATAATTATTTGCAGACCAGTGTTTTTATTTTTAGAAAATTTCAGGATAGAGTATAAATACTTTAGATGAATAATAACACTTTTCTCTCCAGTGTAGATAATATTGTCATGTAGGTTGGTCTTCCTATTATCTGCAGTGGGTAAGTGTTTGCAATTAGCTTTGCATAATTGTCCTTACAAAAGGAAAAAGGACTCCGCTTTTCATCGTTCAGGCATAGACTCTTTTTTAACAGACTTTCTTATTCATTCTACCCTCTGTTTAGATAATTAGGGTGAGAAAAATCCAACTGGATAACAAAAAAAAGTCTGTAGTCCTCAACTTACAGCAGTTCATTTAGTTACCATTCAACGTTACGACACTGAAAGAAGTGACTTATGATTGTTCTTCACAGTTATGACCTTTGCAGTATCCTCATCATCATGTGATCAAAATTTAGATACTTGGCAACTGGTTCATATTTATGACCATTGCTGTGTCCCAAGGTCCTGTGATCCCCTTTTGCGACCTTCTGACGAGCAAAATCAGAGGGGAAGTCAGATCCATTTAACAGCTGGGTTACTAACTTATCAACTGCAGTGATTCACTTAACAAATGAGACAAGAAAGGTTGTAAAAAGGGGCAAATTTCACTTAACAAATGTCTCACTTAGCCACAGAAATGTTGGGCTCAATTGTGGTCGTACGTTGAGGACTACTTGTATTAGAACTGTGTAGGATAGGGAAGTCTAACAGATGGAGATGTCTTCTGTCTGAACAGATGAATATTATTCAATATTGCCAGGTAGTTTGCCTGAAGAAATGATAGTGAGACAGTTTGAGTCTTAAAGTAGGAGCATGGCTTTCAGTCATTGCAGAGTATTCTCTGCTATTCCTCCATGATTGCATCAACTCACTTACTTTTTGAAGGGGACACTTCATTGATTTCTCCTTATAGGCTCTTAGAACTTAATGGTTTTTCAGCAGGATTGGCGCTCTGATTCAGTAATCTTACAATTGACCCTTTCTTTCTATCAAGGGGGAACATATTTCAACCTTCATTTTGCCATCTGAAGGTGGAAGAATGGTCTAAGTTGGCTAATAATTAAGGAGCATCTCAGAAAGGGGGTTTCATGATTCAGATTGTGTCTCATCCACCATTGGTAAGACAATATCCAGCACCATATTGTCAAGGTGGATCAAATTGTGTCTCTCTGCTTCTGTTGTGAGGGTGGTACAGCTGATTCCTTGAAGTTTCCCTTTCTTTTGTCTTATGCATTAATGCAGCAATCCCCAACCTTTCCGGTGTGGCAGCCTAGCTGGGAGGCAGAGAGGAGATGATTGTGTGTAAGTGGCAGGCATGCATGCAAGAGCGCGCAACCTCATTTGTGCAAATGGTGGGCATGCATGCCCGCTGCTTGCGCAAATGGAAGTGTGAGCGCAAGCACCTGCCGCTCATGTAAGTGAAACTGCATGCATGAGTGTGCATTCGCCCACCACTCACACAGCCCAATTCCAAACAGGCCTCAGCCCAGTGCTGGGCTGTGGCCTGGGGTTGGGAACCGCTACATTAATGCATGGGAGCTGACATTTGTGCTTCAGCAGGGATACATCTGTGAATATAGCAGGGGGTCCAACTCTAGAATACATGGGCTATTCCCTTTTAGTAAAATATAATTCTGGCTTTAGCTTGCTAACACTTTCTGCTGGAGATTGTAAGGACATAATGGGCAAACCATGGACTACCTTGCCCTGCCTTCAAGCCTTTTGCCCTGTTCTTTGAGAAAACAATTTTAAAAGTCTGTAATATTTTGTTTAAATCAAATACATCAAATTAAACATGCTTCCAGCATTGAACTTCCCTTGAAAATGCTATGGTTACTTTCTTCGTTGATTTCACTGCCCATGCCATAGAGGTGCTCAGCTTCATTTTTTAAATGAACCTGAAAGGTTACTCAGCCAACTTGCAAGGAATGGCTCTCAACTCTCAGATTGCTTTTAAATGAGTATCGGGAATTATGTCTTGCTTTATCAAATTTGCTGACCAGGTGTGAGTTATCTTACGGATTATAATCTCCTCTAAGATGTAGAAATCTTTTTTATGCTATTATATGCTGGAAAATGCTTGGATATGTGTGGGATCATACAAAGCAATTTGCATACCCTTGCCACATGGGAAAAAAAAAATCTGCAAATATATAATAGTACCCTATATGTACTTTTGCTTTCGGACTTAACAAGATTCTGTTGGCCTTACAATGAAAGTAATATTAATACTTATGATTTGGGTTTCCTGTCTAGACTCCCATGAAGGACTGACACCTTGAATCTTGTACGAGAGGTACTAGATTCAGGTTTGCTACTAGCTCTTAAGTGTTCTTTGTTGCTTAAATGGGATGCATGAAAAAAGAATGAACGTTAAGGAATTTCAAGGTGACTAGTTCTTCCTGTACGGGTAGTCCTCGACTTACAACAGTTCATTTAATGACCATTCAAAGTTACAATAGCACTGAAAAAAGTTACTTATGACCATTTTTCACACTTACAACCATTGCAGCATCCCCATGGTCACATGATCAAAATTCAGATGCTTGGCAATGGACTCATATTTATGACGGTTGCAGTGTGTCCTGGAGTCATGTGCTCCCCTTTTGCGATCTTCGGACAAGCAAAATCAATGGGGAAGCTAGATCCACTTAACAACCGGGTTACTAATTTAACAATTGCAATGATTCACTTAACAACAGTGGCAAGAAAAGTCATAAAATGGGGCAGATTTCACTTAACAAATGTCTCACTTAGCAACAGAAATTTTGGGTTCAGTTGTAAGTTGAGGACTTCCTCCACTTGTAAGTGGTTGTAACTTGAGGACTTCCTGTATATGGCATTACTTGACTATAGGTGTCTATGGGCTACAGAATGAATTAGCAATAATAATTATTAAGACAAGTTTAGTTAGAAACAATCCTCCAAAGATTTATTCCTAGGGAAGTATATAGAATTTCAGTGAAGATGTTCAAAACTGTCAAGGTGCATACACTTTTTAATAAATAACAGAACATCTATGAAGCATTTTATACTAAAACTCAACGCAGATTCTTTCAACAGATAAGCAGGATCTTGATCAGAGTGAAACATTATGATAAAAGAAAAAAAATGCTACTACTTAATAGTTTCTGAAAATGTAATTGTAGTCACATTTCTGGCAGTTAACATTTGAAAGAACAGATGAACAGGTTTGCTGTTGAAATATGAAAAGTTTCCGAAGTGTCCTTTTACCATGTTAACTTCATGGAGTTAACAGTGAAGTATTAAGTGTGCACTTGCTTTCCTTTTAGTAACCACACGATGGCGCATAACAAAGGTTTTGAAAGATGATAGTTTGAAAGTTTGAGAAAAAAGATCAATACATATTTTATGAACCATATTTCACGGGGAAAAACAATGTAAAATTTAATATATTTATGCAGTCTTTTATTCTATCACAAATTAGAATGTTTTCAAATATGTTCATATGTTTTGCTCTTTTTTAGTGCTGTAAAATTTTCAGAAATGCTGCAATACTTATTGCTTAAACAAGAATTAATCAATAGAACATAACCTGTATACATTAATATGCATCAAATCCATATTTACATTCATCACTCAACATGGTTAGAAATTTAATATGGCTAATTGTCATAATTTTAATTCCCATTCTTTAAAAGAATAGCATGACATTTGACCAGATTATATTAGTAGTGAATGGATAACCAAACGCCATTACAGCAATTAGAAATGTGTGCTTTTTAAATTCTTGTCCTTGTTCGTTTAAACCACCAAGCTAAATACTTTCATTTATATATTTTCTGATCAAGATGTATAATAATTTTATGTATATAAAATATACTTATCACAAACTAAGCTAATTTTTTTTTTTTTTTTTTGGATATAAACAAACCTCTTTTCCTCTAAAAAAGAGGTCCCTGACCTTTTGGGCACCAGGGACTGGTTCCCTGGAGAAAAGTTTTTCCATGGACTGTAGCGTGCGTGGGTTTGTGTGCTGCTTGTTGGTGTGGACCGGTTGCTGGCATGCCGTGGCCCAGTACCATTCCACGGACTGGGGGTTGGGGACCCCTGATCTAAAATACATCAAGGCCTTTAAAGTCTTGATGTCAAGGGATAACACATTTTGAAGAGAGGTTACTTAGGGCTGGGAGTTAATATGGGTTCAGAAATTCAGTAAGTAGGTCTAGCCCAGGGGTAGGCAACCTCGGCTCTTTTATGACTCATGGACTTCAACTCCCAGAATTCCTGAGTCAGTCACCCCTGGTCTAACCAACTAGTTTTAGCTGGAAATTTAACTGGAAATTAAGGAGGGTTACTCCTGCTTAATACTTAGATGGGAATACTACCAGGAAATCCTTACAAACACCCTGAAAAAGGCTGTTACTTCGGTGAAGAAAACATCTTGATCAACTTGACTGAAGGGTGTGTTCATTTTCAGAAATTATGTCTATCTGAGACATCCCTCCAGAGTTCCATACAGATTGCAATTCTCTGTTTGGCACATTTGAAAATTATGTGTTCAGATCTTTCTGAAATCTTTAGTTGTTAGGCACAATAGTGTCTCTCTAAAAATCACAATGTTTATATTTTGTAGTGCGTGAACATTTAAATAATATTTATCCTTTAAAATTATAGATTGCCCTGTTACTTTAAAGAGACCGATAGGGTATAATTGTACGTCCTTAAACTATTATTAAGCTTGTAAGTTTCCTCTTCTCTATGTGTTTGGGAAGAAACATAAATTATATGTGTAAACTGCTCCTCAATCTGAGTAAATTATGCAATTGTATTTTGTCTGTTCTGTATAAAAAAGGTTTATGATCCTAGTTTCTTTCTCTACAGTGAAAGTGGGAAGTTACTGATCCTGCAGATGTATCTGAAATGATATTTGTAGTGTTCCTCATTGCTGGCTCTGACTGGTTAAAGCTACAGGTCAGCAGCAGCTTTCCTACTCCTGCTTTGAACCTTAGTTCTGCTTAGTTACAATTCAGTTTGGTACATAATAAATAAAAGATTCTTGAAGTGAAAGGGGACATGCAGGTATTCAAGCAAAAATTAATCAACTTAGTTCATTTTGTAGCTGAATTAGGTTACTGTATTTAACAATAAGCACCTCGGGATATTATTGTAATATATTTGAGTGCTACAATATGTTTTTAACATGTATACTATAACTGGATCATTTTAAAAGTATGAATGTAAGCAAAATTTTGCAATAGTGGGCATCTAATTTTGGTGAATGTAAGTAATTCCCAATAAAACATTACTATACTTTCTATAAACTAATAAGGAAAGGAGAAAGAAGACTATAGCTAATAACACTTTGTAACCATGATGTATTGTTTAGTGACTGCCCTAGACAGCATCCATTTGCAGCATCTGCTTGCAGTTATGAAAGTAATGAAAAAAAATAATTTTTGTCTGCATGTATGACTTTCTTGGTTCCCCCCCCCCCACTTCTCCTGTCAGAGCGGAGAGCTTGCCTAAACAAGCAACCTTTTCCTGAGCTGCTTTTTCCAGAGTGCAGTATGTCCCTAAAAATTGCAAGCCATAAGTTCTGCTGTTTGTGACCTTAATTAATTGGTTATAACAACCCCTTCTATTCAGCTATTGCCTGAAACTGATGACACCCCAATCAGTTTTATACTATAGGTTATACTAAACCACCCATTGTTTAACAATGGTTTGAAGTTAAAGTGGCCTTGATAAAGGTGCTTTACAGCTTGTAAATCACTTCTGTCTGTCATAACATGTAACTCCATGCCCCTCCCCTATAGTCATGTTCATATTTACAATAGGTTGCAAAGCACCCTATGATCACGATTGCTATTTGTAATCTTTGCTACCTTCCCAGAAGGTCAGTGGGGGAACTGGAAAGAAGATTGTAAGTTGCTGCCTCCATCTGCCAAGAGGACTCCCTCTTGTTTCTGGGAGCTGGCTGAAAGAGCTGTCTGCTGAGGCGAGCTGATCTCTTCTAGTGGGAGGAAGATTAGAGCTCGGTTCTTGCACTCCACCAAAGGTGTTCCTTCTGCACGTGTAGGCAAGCTGAATTTCAGGGTAGAGAGTGCATGAAAGAGGGTTGATATCCTTTGGCAGGCAGCTCTTTCAACCAGAGATGTGAAGGAACCAAAATCCAAGCAAGAGTTTCAGCTTCCGAGCAGGAAGGCAGCATAGGTAAGAAGGAGCATAGGCTGCCTCAGGTGGGTAGGGAAGGTCTTGGGAGACCTGCTACAGGTCATGCACCAGTGTCTCATCACTGAAAATGCTGCTTGGGATTTCAGTAGGGAGGATTTTCAGCTCCTGAGGAAAGGCAGCGTGATAAAGAAAAGAATGCTGGGTGCCTTTGAGGTGGGAAAAAACATTAAGAAACACTGTCTTCTTGCTAATTATCCCAGCACCATGGTGAGCATTCACAAGGCCAGAGTAGTGGAGAAAAAGGACTATAAGAGTTGCTCTTTCACAGTTTTTTATGAATTGAGTTCCAGAAACCTTTCTTGCCAGATGGGCTTACTTATCTGTTTGGAATCAAGCTGAAGTAAAATCATAAGCACAATTGCTGTCCCTTTTTTTTTTTTAACTTAGCAAGTGCTTTGTTTAAAACTAAGTTGCTAATTCCAATTGTAGTGAGAATGACCTGCATTATTTTTACAGACTGTTAATCATGGAATACTGAAATGAACTGTTCAGTCACCTTTTGTTAAGACATTAACTAGCTAATGGAATTCTTTCTGGGCTCCTCTTTTTTCTAGGGAATCAACATGAAATGGAAGAATCTGAGTTATGTAGAAATGTGTATGGTTTTACACCTTTGGTCCCTTTTATTTTGTGAATAAATTTTCCATTTGGATCTTTTCCTTCAACAGAGGTTTGCGCAACACATATTTTTGGTATTTATTTGCTAAAATATTAACGTTTTATTGATTCTAATTTTTCAGGATAAGGAACCTCTTCGGATTATACCACTGAAAGAAGTTCATAAAGTCCAAGAATGTAAACAAAGGTGAGAATTGTAAAGGTATCAAACCCTATGTAATTGGAGTAAGAAACCCTGATCATGCTATTTCTCATCACAATTTAATACATTTCATTTGCTATATGATTAAATTATAAAGTCAAATTATTTGAAACGTGGGATATTTTAACAGGACAAATGTAGTCATTTGTATATAATAATGAAAGTTCAGGAAGATGGAGATTGTGATTGAAAACTAAGCAAGATTAACCCTAATTAGTGCTTGGATGGAGGCAATGCAGGAATTTCAGGGCTTTTGATTAGATTGGCCAGTTTAAAAAAAAAAGACAAAAGCAAACCATTTCCAAGGAGTGCTTCCAAAAAACCTGCAGCAAAATAGTCACTTTGAACTTGAAAGCATTCTTGCTTTTTAACACATTTAAAATGGTCTGGTTCATTAAGTTACCAGGTGATTCTGTTATGGCATTATAAAATTTCTTAGGACATTTCATAATTTTTATCCCATGCTTGTCTTGTTTAACTTGAGGAATAAGCTTAGGTACGATTCTGCAGTGGGCATATTTGCCTGGAGTTTATGAATGAAGGAGACAGTAGGTAAATCTGGAAGCACTGGAGTATGTTTTTGCTTTGTCTTTGATTATCATCCTAATGGAGGTTGTGCCAAAAGGTGATAATAATCTTCATATAGTCTAAACACTAGCCAGTCTGAGCATAACTTCAAATGCACTGGCTATAATTTGCTTATCTAGAGTCATAATAATGTACCTGTTTTGAGCTGGTAGAAGAAGAAGAAGGGAGGTAGAGTACATTACATGCTATAGCAGTGATGGCAAACCTTTTAGAGACCAAGTGCCCAAAAACTGGCCCCACCCCACTCCACCCCCCGCTCTGCCCCCATCCTGCCTGCCTGCAGGGCCACTCACCACCTGCAGGGCCCGCCACAGATCGCCCAGAAGTGCCATGGCAGCCACGCCCTCTGCCCACGCCCCGCAGCATCAACTATGCATGATGGGGCATGAGGGCAGAGTCTTGTCTACGTTGTCTGGCTGGCATGTCCTTGGCTGCACTGCTTCACAGGGGCCACGCTCAGGGGCGACTCTCCTCCGGGGGCTGCTGATAAGGGGGGGTCACGGGGGAGGCAAGGCTGGGGCAACGGCACGTGTGCCCACAGAGAGGGCTCCGAGTGCCGCCTCTGGCACTCGTGCCATTGGTTCGCCCCCACTGTGCTATAGTGTACAATACATGTAGTTCTCAAATTACAACCATTTGTAGTGACTGTTCAAAATTACAATGGCACTGAAAAAGGTGACTTATGACTGGTCCTCCCATTTAGCACTGTCATAGTATCCCCACAGTCGTGTGATCAAAATTTGGGATCTTGGCAACCAGGATGTATTTATGATGATTGCAGTGTCCTGGGGCCACAAGATCATCATTTGTGACCTTTCCAGCCAGTTTTGACAAGCAAAGTCAGTGGGGCAAACTGGATTTACTTAACAACTAAAGTAATTTGTTTAACAATTAGCAAAAAAAAAAGTCCACTAATCAGGCATGATTCACTTAACAACTGCCTTAACAACAAAAATTCTGGTCCCAATTGTCATAAGTCAAGGATTATCTGTATAGTGTAGGTGGTCCTCATTTAACAGCTATTTACAGTTAGAATGCTGGTGAAAAAATAGTTTTGTGATCAGTCTTTGCATTTATGATCTTTGCAGGTCCTAAAGCAAAAGGAAACTGAAATAAGATAATAAGCACACTAGCAGTTATTGCTTTACTTAACAACCAAAGTTGCTGCTCTTAATAGTGATCATTAAATGAGGACTACCTGCATGTAATTTAATTATTTTCAAAGCAGATGATTTAAAATTGTATAGAATGCATTTTTCTATGTTAGAAACGTGAGCTAGAATTTGATTTTAACAATGCATACATTTACATTTTGTATGTTTTTCAGTGATATTATGATGAGAGACAATCTTTTTGAAATTGTAACAACTTCTCGAACATTTTATGTACAAGTAAGTCTTCTGTTTGTGCATTTTATGTAAGATAACAAACTTCATTTCCTTTCAAATATATAGCCATAGCTAATTTAATTTTACAAATAAAATGAGCATGAACTAAGGGTTCCCAGTTTGCAGAGAATTATGGGGAATATTTAAAGTTTGAGGGCATTTAGTAGGTGTTTTCACAATATGTCTACTGTGGGGAAACATATCTATTCACAAAATGGCTACTTTGGCGGCTGGCAATAAAATATCCATTTATCAGATGTTAAGCTGGGAAGATTGCTCCCTACCATAGCCATCCAACTTCAACACAAAGTTGCAAAGGAGTTGATTGCAAGAATCCATTACTTTTTAAAGAAAGGCTTAAGAAACCGAAGTAGGGCCCAGCCATTTTTACAAATAAGTCATATGTCCATTAAAAATATTGTTAGGTCAGGGCAGTGAGCTTCATAAATGTCAAGGATAGTGCTATGGAACTATGTTGTCCCCCGATTGGTAACAAATATCCTAGTAGTAGAACTGAAAGTGATTCTCATTCCCAGGTTAGATCTTCTGTATTTTAGAGTGACATAACTGGTCTAATGAAATGCTTTGATTAACATCTTAAAAAGCCTGCTACGAGGATTTTTCCAGTGTTGTGCTATGCTAATAGAAGAAAATATATGTAGCTCAGGTTGAACTATGAAGTCCTTGGTACTCTCTGAACATGGTTGTTTGCTTGCAGATATTTCATTACATAATTAGGTAATATCTTTAGTGTAAATAAAGTTTGGTCCCTGTTTATATAGAATAGCTTGTCCTGCCAGTGTTGGTTTATTTTCTCCTTGCTGTCGTTCCTTGCTTAGGGTATTATTTTTCCTTAATTGTTTATCTGGTATTAATCTGTGCTTATCTGGATGTTGGTTGCTGGAGAGGATGGGTTCTGGTCTTTTTGTTTCCTTCTTAGCTTTTTAATTGTCTTTTTTGGATGGTGTGAAAATGTGGTTTATCTCTATGTGTCTATTGATGGCTGATTTGTCTCAATGCCAAACAACCAAGAATTCCCCAGGATTTTTGGATTTAGCTTGATTTAGGATGTTCAGAGTTTCCCAGTTGAAACTATGGTTGAGTCTAACCCAGGGATGTCAAACTGCCGGCCCGCAGGCCGGACGCATCATCCGGAAGTTGCAATGGCAATGGCAAAATTCTCCTGATACGTCTCGCGATGTCACGTGACGTCGCAAATTTGACATGTCTGGTCTAACCCATGTATTGTAAGATATGAGTCTAACCCATATCTTCTGTTCTGTCCCAGCCTATGTGAGTCCTTGTTAAGCTGAAAAGGAGAAACCCCTCTTCCAACAAGCAGGCTGGAACCGTAGGAAAAAAACAATCCCCTTTTATTATTCACAGACCTGAGTCAATGTCCAAGGCAAACAAAACGCAGTTCACAGAAACTTGATCCTCAACATAAACGGTTGCCTTCAGCAATCAGCACCTCCCACACCTTCCCTTTTATTATGCAGCTAAGGCGTGGCTTCCTAATGCCTTCTCCTTTGCCTTTGGAGCCACCCCAGGCTCCTCATCAGACTGTAAGTCTTGGAGCTCCTCAGAGCCTTCCTCTGACTCTGATGTCACTCCAGGTCCCTTCTCCTCCTCTGATTACTCTGACTCAGCTGCCGGGTCCACTGGCTGGCGAGGAATCACAACATCTTCTGACTTGTAGTCGATGTTCATAGATGTACCTGTCTATCCTACATAGTGGCTATTACAGTCCTTACATTGTATGTTATAGATCACTGGTGTCAACACGTCACATCACGTGTTGCAACGTATCGTGACTCTTTTTGCATTGCTGCAATGGGGTGGGCGCAGCTTCAGTATGATGAAACCAGTCACTGGCCGGCAGTTTGAAACCCCTGTTATAAATGATTCCTGCTTTTTTTTTTTCTTTTTTCATTGGACTGCTTGGTTTACTTAAGATGTTTTGGAAGGTTTTAGTTGGTTTGTGTGCTATGGTGATGCCATGTCATTAACAATGGTCTGTTGGTCTGTTTATGAAAGGTTTTTTTTTTTAATGCCATAGCAGTATACTTCTTTTCATTATAATTACTTGGGTTTTCTCATAAACAACTTTCTTCTTTTTCCCAATGATGTTTGCAATATCCTGTTTTCATTCCTTGTTTAGAACATTATAAATTATTCATATAATTTCAGTTGATTGTGCTTTGAGTTTAAATTAAATAACATACTGATAAATCCTCTTCAGTAGTTAAATTGGCAACAAGGAAGCTGTAATAATTATTAATGGGCTTTTCATATTTCTATTCATTGAAAAATATTTGAAAATAGCTATGGTCACCTGCCAGGATTTTTCTTCACAGGATGTAGAAAATTGCTTTATATAACTATTTCTAAAATAGAGACAGTGATGTTATGAACTATGCTTTAAATACACTATTATAGTAAATCCTCATCTTTTTCATGAAAAGTCTATTTCTATCAGTCTAGATTAAATGTTTTAAATTCATTCATGAGGAAAATGTTTGATATATTCTTAGGTTGTATAGGTAAAATATGTTTAAATCTAAAACTGAAATTCTACAACAGTTTTATATTATTCTTATTTTAGGCCGATAGCCCAGAAGACATGCATAGTTGGATTAAAGCAATTTCTGGTGCAATAGTAGCCCAGCGAGGACCTGGAAGATCAGCAGCTTCCGTATGTTTTTAAACAACTTAAATTATGACACTTCACCAGTAATCAGTACTGCACTTATTTTTTAGTCAACCCTTTCCTAGATCTGGGGTAATACATTTGCATGAATTACAACTTGCATAGACTGTTACGTTTTTGATTCAATGCTAATCTTAAAAATACTCGTATTTCTATCTTTCTGTATTATCTTAATATTTATACGTTAAACTCTCCTCTCTTAATTTGACCACAAAGAAATTTGTGAATTTATATGATCATTTTCTGAATTTTGTGCTTGAGACGTCCCTAAACTGATTTAAAGCACCTTGGAATAGAATTCTTTGTAACTTTCAGTTTACAGGCCTCTAAGCACAGAACTAATTTGTGCTTTCAAAAGGATTCTAGATTTCCTTTTTGAACAACTGGACTTACAATGGCTAATATTGCCAAACTGTTGTAAGTGTCAGTAATTATGTAATTGTTCCATAGATGACATATTTTTTCAATAGAACACAGGTTTATTCTAATGAGTATCTAATTGCTATAATGTAGTACTCTGTTGATTCTTTTTTTAAACCATTCTTAGCCATTCATATATAGCAATATTGTTTTTTATTTCTGTCAATATACTAGATATTTATTCTAACTTGTATACAGCATAGAGATATTAAAACAATTGTGTTTCTTACTCCAATTTTCACCTTTTTTGCAAAAACTGATTAAAACAGCCTAATCAATTGCCACTATCCTTTAGAAACTCTCTCTCTGGGAATGAATGCATTTTGGTTAATGGAAAAGTTATTGGGAATGGGTATTCCTTTGTGTCTTTGGTGGTTTTTTTTTAATTTTTGTGGTGGAATAACTCTACTAGTGGCTGTCAGCAGTTCTTCCTTTCCCTGTCTTTTCCTCTCTTCCTCCCTTCTTCTTCTCAAGTTTAGGTTACTCTAATCTTAGCTTTGCACTGTGTTCCAGATGCGGCAGGCCAGAAGGCTGTCGAATCCTTGTATACAGAGGTATACATCAAGAATTGGTGAATGCAGCACGTATGTGGGCTCTCATGTAAACCTGCCATTTTAACAGAGGGCTGCAGTCCAGAACATTTATTAACACTACATAAAATGATGAATCTTGTGGTGTCTTCTGTTGATCATTATCACCATGAAATTACTAACTTCTGAAATATTTTCCATTGGCTATTAAATTTGATCTTTGTAAATAAAATCTATTTTTCAGAATGGCGAACATTCACTTGCTGCTGAAGTCTCTGTTCCTTTCATTGAGAAGAAAAGCTCTAGTAGCAAATACATGGAGAGAAAAGCTACATTTGGCCTAATTTGCATGAGAGTTCATATTTGAATTTAATCATTTTAAAACACAGCTAAGTAAAAGCCTCTCAGAGCCTAATAGTTAAATGTGTGCATATAAAGTGTGCACACTAAAAAAAAAGATAATTGACCAACCTGCATGGTTTTTACAATATATATGCATGGGATCATTAGTCAAGATGCAGAGATTGTTATAGCTTGCATTATTTTGATTAACTAACCTATGGTTAATCAAAACAATGAATATACGTTTTTTATATTCTAATCACAAAAGTTGTATCTTATCACAAAACTACCAATTGAAATATTTGAAATGCTGCTCCAGCACAAATCTTGCTTGAATTTAATTTAAAAATGTTATAGAAATGTTTATATAGTATTCACTTTAGAAAAGAAGTTCGTATTTGGAAATTATTTTACACAATCATTTTGTGTTAAACATATTTATTTCTGATAAATTTATTACTTTTGAAACAAAGTACCAAGTTTTTTCTTTATCTTCCTTTACTTAGATGATTCCTACAATATAAATTTTAAAATAGAATTTTAAGAATTTAATTATACTTCTTTTTTACAAGTGAATACACTTTGTATAAATTTATGGGATTAGTTTCTTGAAATTGTCTTAGCATTAGATTTCAAGAAGTATTTAATCCTATTTGCAAATTCTCAAAATCGACAGTTTCTTCAAAATGCTGCCAGTGGTATGCTCACAATGGGCATGGGGAAAGTAAGGCAGAAATCTGTTCTGCTGGGAGATTGATAGCATTGGGCATAATAACTCAGTCCAATTGCACTTTCAGAATTAAAAATAATATCACACTAGATTTAGGGATTTGTCTTGGCTGTTTCAGCTTGCTGTTACACAATGCTGTATGCTTACAATCTTAATATTGTGCTGCATCGGAGAAGCTTCTGCTTTGTGCTCTTATGCCTTGCTTCGTATTTCCCTTTTCATTATTTCAGTGACGTAGGTCTGAATTGAGTAATTAATATGGAGTAAATGACCAACTTAATCAGATAATTACTTCTCCTTTACAGGAGCATTCCAGCTGTTCAGAATCCAGCTGTCCTGCAAAAACAGCAGCAGCCACCTCACATTCCACAACCACTCACCGCCCCACTTTGGTCCAAACCTTTAACAGCAAACCCCTTGTCTTGGAGAAGCGAAGATTTCATGAATCTTTTACCACGTCCAAATCAGGGAGCTTCAAGATCCAGGCTGTCCCTTCAAGAAACTCAACTTCCAAAGTGACTTTACAGGCTCTATTGGAACCTCAAAATAAAAATGGCACTCAGGAACAGGATCCTGATCCAGTGGATCTGGATGATGCAAGCCTTCCAGTTAGTGATGTGTAATGATGGGGAAGAGTCTGGAAAATTAAGAATTGTTTTGGTCCTTGAATTTCCTTTCTCAGACTTTTAGCCAAAGATAGAAAGAACAAAACATAGAATGTTGCTTATGTTGACCTTTCTGTATGCATACATTCAAAATTTTGTATGTTTTAATAGTTATATGCTGCCTTGCACTGTGTATCGGAGCAGACTTTTTGCTTTTTCTGTACCCTGATGACAAATCATTTTGATAGAGAGGGGCCGAAATATGATACTTGATCTAAAAGTTATTTAAGCAAGGTACCAGCTGCTCTTCATCATCAGTTTGGCAAAACTGAAAAAAAAAAAACTCTTTAATGCTATTTTTCAAAGCCAATTTACAGCTTAATGATCTTGTAATTCAGGCTATTGTTAACCAAATCGGCTTATTTTCTAAAAATACTGGCACAGTTTTTTGGGGCATCTGGATCTATGTATACAGTATTCTTTGATTGTCAGGACTGCAGAGTGTAACAGTAGACGCAATGTAATGCACTTTTCCTATGCAAAGAGATTTTTCATGTTAAGTATATTTCATGTTAAGAATATTAAGAAAAACACCATGCTGCAGTATCTGAAATGAGGTATGTTTTCCTTACAGTGAATGCTTAGATTTGAGCAATCTATGTATTCAAGGCACAAAACCTGCTCATAACAAATATAATATTTGTTAAAGTACAATAAGTGAGAATCTCTATGAGAAAAGAAAGCTTATAAGAAAGGCCCACAGATTATTTACGGTAACCTAAATGTGCTGACTTAATTGGAGCTCCTGATAAATACTTTGTAAATCACTGCCCTTTCATAGAATCCAAATCCTTTAGAATTACAGAAAACTGGTGCTGTGAAATTTACATTACCATAATACAGCTATTTTGAATACTAAGCCTATTTTTGATGCACTCCTAAAGGTAAATTGTAACTTTTGCACATTTGGATATTGATGGACCACCAAAATAAAGGTATTATGTAGATTTTTAAAAAAATAGGGAACATAAACTATTAAATCTTTTAAAGGTTTAACTAAAATATTTTATAATGGGCTTTGCATTAATTATTTAAAACTATTGTTCAAAATTTTATTTTCTCTTGTGTGATCTCCACCCCCCCCCTCCCAATTCAGTGAGTTGTAACTGGTTCTCATTTTGTATTTTGGTCAGTAAAAGACTGAACAAACTCTGCTTCATGCTATTAATTGGTACTGAATTATTCCATCATGCAACTGTGGCCTGTAACTTCTGTGCACTGTATTTATTAAAAGTGCCTGTGGGTTCTTTCTTCATGATAAGTTAAAAGTTTGGGGGTTAGATAGATTTATTTTTTTGGTTTTGAGCCTTGTGTGATATGGTTCAGCCTGTGTATAAGGTGAAATGCTAGTACGGTTTCCAGCATACAGGTATCTAAGCTGTGCATAATGGTTTTCAGACTGGATATTTGTTCAGTTCCAATGACAAATAATAATAGGTTTAAGGTGATGTTGGATAATTGATCAAACAAAGAATGTACTATTTTATAGTTAGGTAGTGAAAAAATCTGTTTAATCAACAAAATGCCCAAAGGTTCACATGCTGCTTCTTTATGCAATTCATATTTTTGTGTAAGTTATGTTTGAAAAATCATAAAGAATGAATGGAAATATTTAAACAAAAAAAAATCCTCCACTATTCTAATGAAGTAGGCGTTCTTTTGACTTATGTCTTAGTGAAGCAAAAGCCAAAATTTTCAAATTAGTTGAAAGGGATGTTCCCTTAAGTCAGTGGTTCTCAACCTGTGGGTCGGGACCCCATTTGGGGTCGAACGACCATTTCACGGGGTCGCCAAGCAAGGCTGTCTGCCATTTTTCCCCCCTTTTCTTTGGCCACGCCCCTGGCACCCTGTGATGTATAAGTGGTTGGGGGTCACCACAACATGTGGAACTGTATTATGGGGTCGTGGCATTAGAAAGGTTGAGAACCACTGCCTTAAGTTAATCCCTTCAGATTCTCATTACTATCTACTAAAATGGTAGAAAGGGGATGATTCCACAACCCTCTCCATTTCAGGAAGAAATATAGATTTTTACTCAGCTGACTAGACTGTACATATTGTCACAGCTTTTAAAAGATATTCAAATTTTAAAAATACTTGTTACTTGCTTGCTTAAATTATAGTAGCAACGGGAGCTAAAAACCTTTTATCTTGTTAGAGAACTTCAATTAGACCAGTGGTTCGTAAGTGGGTGGGGGAGGGTACTTTTCCCCAATGGAGTAATTGAGGGTAATGGAACAATTTGTAATTGAGTGTTTGTGAATCAAGGATCCAGTTTGGAACTGATGCTGCCAAGATGCCTGTATAAAAAACAGAGTCTGGATTTTTTTTTTTTTGTGGGGATAGTGATATTATTTGGAACAGGTAAGAGAAGTAATTGAATCAGTTTAAGAACCATTGAGTTAAGCAGTGACCAGCACATTCCTGCTTTTATTAGATTTTTATCCTGCTTTTATTACTTTTATAAGTAACTCAAGGTGGTGAACATACCTAATACTCCTGTCTCTTCCTCTTTTCCTCAACAATAAAAATTCTGCTAAGTAGGTTGGGCTGAGAGAGAGACTGGCCCATATCTGCTTTCTGTGTGCCATAGGTATAAGAGGCTGTATAGAGTAATATTAGAAGTCCAATTATGTGTTTATTTTGTACACCCAACTCTTCTACTGTCATGAGTTGGGTTGACCTGCTTGAAACATGACATTTTCATTTGCAGTTCATTTGTCTGTGCTAATATTATATGTTTGATTTATGTTCGTTTTAACTGCCTTTAACTAAATGGTCTTTAGCTTCCAGATTCATTTCCCCAATAACGTCCCCACAAAATCTTGATCTCAGGCTTTATCTATGAAGCTTTTATATTTGCAAGAAGAGTCGTTTGGCCCTTGGACAAGAGAACATTTTGCCACCCTAGTTTGTTTTTTCACATAAACTCAAAAGGTATAGGTATTTTATATAAACGATACAAACTGACTCAATCACTTTCCAGGTTTTTCATTAAGTTTGTCTCGTTGGGAATTTTCACTGTTGTTCCAACTTAACTATAATTCTGTTTGTCATCAAATAAACAGTTTGGATCACTTGAGTCCAGCAATTGTGATTGTGGAAATTTGCTACAGAGTTTGCCTTTCAAGAATACATTATTCCATTGTTAAATATACTAACTACATTTATAGAAAGTTATATGGATCAAATCTGTATATATTAAAAATTGAAATAAAAATGGACAAGGCCTAAAAAGGTAGAATGCCAAATTTCTGTGATGTTATTTCAGATTGCTCCAATATAGCAGTCCTTTATATTTCTCAATTATAAGCTAAATATTTACAAGCAGTGTTTGTAAATGACATTTTATTTGCCTTCTCAGTTATATGTGAATTAAGGTAAATGTTCCGTTCAGTCTAATTCAGGAGAATAACATTTTAACTTGTAACAGATTTAGCAAATGTGTGAAAGACCTTATTTTTCACAATACATATTTTGTGGAAGAAACTGAGTTGGATTGTTTGTTGCGTTGCCACACCTTGATGTTGTGCTAGGTTTACTGGTTCTGGTACAATTTTCACATTGCATGTTCATTTTATTCTTTGAATATTACCAGTTTTCAATAGTGAATTGTAATCACAGCAGCAATCTTATGGATTCCTTTAAAATCAAACTGCTTAGGTAATTCAGTAATGTGGGAAATGCTTGTGGTTGGCAAATTGTCAGGACTTTTAATTTATCAGTACTTTTTTATATAAAATTGAAGAAAATTGTTAACTTATTTGAAACCTGTGGTGTTTTCTGTGTCACACTTGTTAATAAATTGAGATAAATAATGAATTATAATAATCTTATCAGACTACTACATTTACATCTAAACACAAATTGTTCAATGAATGAAACAATTTTTGCAAACTATTTTAGTTCTTCCCTTCAGATTCACCAGAAATCTTAAAATTGATATTTTTAATCAATCAAAAAGCAAACATTAAAAAACTTTGCATCATTACTACAACTAGTCTTATTACCAGCGACATTTTAAAGAGATAATATTCCTCAGTGGTTAAAACTAGGTTATTAAAAAACTATTGCTGAAACATCTTGGTATGATCTGCTGTCAGACCATGTTATTAAATTTGCCAATTTGTACACATGTGTTGTCATATGTGCAGTCCTCATACGAGACAAGTTAACCTTGAATGATGCTAAAGAATGAGGGTAAAGAAACCATAGCTTATTCAAGAAAACTTGACTACCCTCCATGAAACGTATTTAAAAGTTCAGATGAAAATTCAAAAAGATTACATAGCAGACTCTGCAAATGAGATAAGTGATGTTTAAATTGGATAAATAAAAAAATGAAATAACACCCCAAATTAGAAAACAGAACCCCTTTAAACTGTGTAACAGTGCAGAAAAATTATCAGGAAAGAAACTTGAAGGAAGCTTCCAGCCAGAGTAAAGCTGGTCATTCTAGCTAGCTTAAAATCCTGTTGGGGATTCCACATGCATTTTACTATGCCATTGGAAGAAGTCCTGTTTTTAATATGAGAGAAGATGGAACACCTGGTAAATGAACTATAACTTCTGAAAGTTATGGTTATTGGGGCCAAATGTTCTGCTACCAGGAATTGTGATTCAATAATACTTGGTGGGCTATAACTACTTCACTGCTACCTTAGTACTGGAGCTATGCCCAAAAGAGTTTTTTTCTTGAGATGTTACCCATTCTAAGATAAACTGACAAAAAGTGTCAATGATTTTCCCTTATGTATTTCTTATTATTTATGTCACGTCTTGTAGGCTGAAAGTATTCCCAAAAAGTTTACAAATAATATGGATTGTAAACAAAATAAACAGTTAAAAGCAAGTAACAGACAGCTGCCCTCTTTATAGGGTAGCTAATGGCTTTGTGGGACAGTAAGAAGAATCCAAGCTGAGATTTCTGGGATGTTCTTCACTTGCCTTCCTCAGTAGTATTTCCTATATTTCCCATAGTATTTTCTATTCATAACAGAATAGGAAAAACATATCACCATCTTGCTTGAGATAAGAAGGACTCTCAAGTATTCTAACTTTTCTGAGAGCAAAATCTATTTGCAACACTCTGTATCTTCACTTAGCATTTGAAAAGGCTGTCTTGAATGTCAGCAAATGCCCTAACTTTTCCTTAGCTAAGTAGCGAGCTGGTTGTGCTCCAGCACTTTTTTTTTTTTTTTTTTTGTGCGATACTGCAAATGTATTAGCAGCAGCATAGGAAGGTATTCTGAGGACAAAGAATGCTTTTCTGTGTCCCAGAAATTTGAAACTTTCCTGGAAGTCAGTGTTTAAGACAGAATATACTGATCCCATTGGAAGTGCGCATCTCAAATATGACCCACAGCGGGCTCTTTTCTGAAAAACACAGGCCATTTTAGCCAACAAACGTAAATATTCTGGAAAAGTCACATTTTGATAAACTAGTAGAAATAGTTTTGTGGTGCCTTATAACTTTTTCATGTGAGAGTGTTTACAAACTGAAATATAAAGTACATAGGTTGTAGAAACAATTAAACAGACAGCTTCCAAGTGGTGAGGAGAATGTGGGGAAAAAGTCAATAGGCTGTGCTTATTGGCACCACCACTGCATCTAGTGCTAGGCTGTTCCAATTGCTTTGCTAGTAGGCCAAACTATGTTAATTCTTGAACATAAGCATGTCATTTTTTAAAACTGCATTTTTGGTCCAATTTGTACAGAGCTTAAGATCATTTATGCATTTGCATGGGCCACAAATACATGTGTTAACCTTCCTGAAGGAAAATTATTAGAGATCGACCAAGACCTGGGTGAACATTTCAAACTATCTGTTGGCAGATTTAATGGAGGAAGTCCAAGAATAAAGAGTTAGAAGAAAACTTCGGAAGTATCTTGGACCAGGATTTTTAAAACGCTTAGGGCAGGGATAGGCAACCTTGACTCTTTTATGACTCATGGACTTCAACTCCGAGAATTCCTGAGCCAGCATGGCTAGCTCAGGAATTCTGGGAGTTGAAGTCCACAAATCATAAAAGAGCCAAGGTTGACTACCCCTGGCTTAGGGTCACCCCTCACCCCCTTCCTGCAACATTGTGGTGCACTTTACAGGCAATAGGATGAATCTGAGTGTAGAACTCTAGGTTGGCTAATAGGATGATCTACTTATAGAAAACGGCACAGAATAGAGTTAACGGAACGACCCTAATACCGCCTGTTCCTCTTCTAGGTATAAACAATTACAGAAATTATGAAAAAAAAATTCTTATGGCAAGTATGGTGAGCTGATATAAACCCGAGAGCCACGCCTTTCAATATTAATAAGAAAAATATTAATAAAAAAAAACCTGTGAAAAGAGGTGAAAAAAAAATTCTGTGAGAGCTTGCAGCAGTTTGCACTCCCACTTGGCGCGGTAGCAGATTTCCTTCGGCCTTGTATAACGGCCTTGTATAACGGCGGCGCCAAGTCTCCTCCCAATCGGCTCCTCAAGTCAGCGGCGTTCTCCACGCGTGTATCCACCTCTCCGGCGGCGCCGGCTCCTTTTAAAGCAGCGCTTCCCTCCTCAGTTGCTCGCCGCGCTTTTGCCAGGCAGCGCTTCCAACTCCCGGCTCTCCCCGCGCGCCAGGACCCTCCTTCCCCACATCGGCCGCGCTGTCCCAGTCAGTTGCGCGTGTTTCGCTCGCTGCACTTTCCGCGCCTTCTTGTGTGGAAGCAATGAAAGCCTTTCTGTGGCCTTTGGCGCCGAGCGGCTGGTGGCCGTGCCTCTTCTTGCTCCTGCTCCCGGGCAGCTTGGCTCAAGTCTTCGGGCGACGTTACGAAGAGCGGGCTTGCCCCGACCGCTGCGACCACTCGCGGTGCCCTGAGGTGCCCGCCGAGTGTGCGGGAAGCGGGCAGACGCTCGACTCCTGCGGCTGCTGCCTTGTGTGTGCCGCACAAGAGGGCGAGTCTTGCGGAGGGTCGCCGTACGGGGAGCCGTCGTGTGCCGAAGGGCTGTTCTGTGTGCTGTCGCCCGGAGGACCCGGAGTGGCGGCTTCGGCCACGGTGCGCCGGCGAGCCAAAGCCGGCCATTGCGTGTGTGCCAGTACCGAGCCGGTGTGTGGCACCGATGGAAAGAGCTACGACAACCTGTGCCAGCTGCGGACCGCTAGCCGGCTTTCCGAAAGCCAGCATCAGCTGCCCGTCATCGCTATCCAGCGGGGCGCCTGCGGTCAGGGTGAGCTTCGCTCAGGAAGGCGGCGGGGGGAAGGCGGCGCGCCTCTCTCAACTTACTTTTGCTGCTAATTCCGCGCGCCTTCGTCGGCTCTCGAAATGCGTTGGACTGCAACATCCATAAATATTGTGATAGGGGACATTTGGAGTCCAACGTATTTGGAGAGGAAATAGGGTAGCGAAAGCAAATGGCTATTTTCTTCTTCTTCCCCCCCCCCCCAAATCTAATTCCCACCCTGCGCGTTATCTGGCACTGAGTTAGATTTGTTAGATCTCTCCGTCGCCTTTTTTTTTTTTGAATAATCTAAAATGCTATTAGTGTGCTAACTTATTTATAAAACTTAATGTAGTTTTTTTTTCTTTGCTGAAGAAGGGAGGGGAAGATTTGGGCTGAGCATGAAATCCTAATTTCTTAGGAATTTATCTTATTTCCAAGATAAAATAACTTAGAAATATTTAAATGATAACCAAACAACAATTTTTCAGTGTTGAGGGGAATTTACACTTCTGGTTTCCAAGGTATCAATCATAGTTGTGTCCCTGACCTACTAAGAAGAAGAAAAAAAGTAGATAGTTGGGGATGCAGCATAGTTCAGGAATGCTGAATGGGCCTGGCTTGGGTCGTGGAAGAAACAGACAGATGGAGGACATCTGTATGAAAAAAAGAGACTGTTCCAAGGAACGAAGACAGCAAATTAGATAAGATATAATAGTGAAAGGACAGTGAAGGAACATCACAGCTTGGAAAAAGAGAATCCAGTTTTGTTAGGTGAGAATAGAAGACTTTTAGAGTAGACCAACCTTTTAACTAGTTATATACTAGGCGAATATCTGGCTGTGAAGAATGTGATTTGGTGATTTGTTTGATTTAGTCATTTTGAAAGCAATAGAATATATTCTATTCTTCCCATTTTACACAGGTACAATATAAACCATGTTATATATTAATAAGAGCCCCTGTTGAATTTTTCTTGCATGTTGAGGACTGTTGTCTTGGTCCAGGCAGATGTGATTTTTTTTCTTGTGTTTTTAATATATGTTTTGAATTTATGTATAGCCATGATGGAAGTGGGTGGTATAACAAATCCAAATAAATAAATAAGAGCATATTAATAGTATATAATTTATACATTATTTTTAGCCCAATTCAAAGGCAGTTATTAATCCAGGCTGGGTTTTTAAGTGCCCACTGTGTTTTATAGTGTTTACTGTGAGTCGTCTTATGTTGATTTATTTTGTAACGATGTAGGCTATTTTAGGATTACTTTGAATGGAAGAATAAGCTAAATAAATAAACAAATGTCTACTGAGAAGTCCAGATGTGTTCTCTAAATCTTACCTCCTGGAAAGTATGTATAAAATTGCACCCCTAGTTCAGTTGTATGTAATATTTTGTATGACTCAAAAGTCATCATAGGTCAGAATCCATGATGATCGTACATAGCAAATTTTTAAAAACAATCTTGGAGGATAAGCATGAGCATTGGCAGCCAAACAATTTTTTTGTTTGCATAGGAAATCATGAGTACAAGAACATTTTTTCTAGGGATGGAAAAGTGAATGGGTGTACATTTTTAACAGAACAACAGGCAGCTGGAAGGAGACGGATTAAGCAGTTATTGCTCATTTACTTATACTTGCAGGGCCTATGGTTGCTTTTCATAAAAAAAATTGGAAGACTTTTGTTTATCTGGGTAAAACATCTGGTTTGGCTTTTACAAATAATTTCCTAGAGATAAATATTTTCTTTGATGAGACTATGACTGAAAAACAAGAGTTTTGTCCCTCACTAGTCTTTTTACCTCTTAGGCCACAATCCAGTTAACATTAACCTAAGAATAAATCCCAACAACAGAAGATTTTCTAAAGCTGGATCAAGCTAATAGACTCAGTCCTATGCATAATTGTAAGCACAGGGTCAAAGTAGATATGGTGGGCAGATTGGAGGAGAAGTGAAATCCTGTTCTATTTCCTATGTTTTTTCATTTAAAATATAATTTTCCAGTATTTTTGATGCCTCCTTTATGCTTATGTAAATCTCATGAGGGAAAAAATAATAATAAAATATAGCTTGGAATGGGAAACTCTAATGGGGAGAAGGTTCATATGTGGCCCTTGCCTTTTGGTTCATCCCATTCTCTCTGTTTTATAATTGGCAGAGTCCAAATTGGCTTGTTTACACAATTTTTTCCTTCATAGTTGAAACCTGATTTCATATATATTCTTAGACTACTCAGTAATATACAATAAACCCTTCTTTTTACAGACTTGAAAAAAATTAAGTCTCAAATTCTAGATTTTAATCATTTCAGGCTAGAATTGAACTGTGCACTCTGAATATTAGTTTATGTGACTCTCACACTGGTGTAGCTTTAATATTATTAATATACATTTATTTATTACTAAATGTCCTTGATTCTAACAATTTATGGTAAATTTAAATTCCAACAGCAGTTTTAGGGTTTGCTATATAGCTGTTACCGATATGTGGATCATTTCTTGGCAATGCTATCATTGTTTTATCAAAATGTAATCCATTTAGCACAATACATTTTGTCACAAGATGGTTGGAAATGCAACTTTAATTTAAAAAATGCCAATTCTTTGTAAAAGAGTAATCCTGAGAAATGGCAGCGAGAAACAATGTGATGCACTGGCCAAAAGAGACTTGGATTCACATCCTGCTTGGTCCCAAAATTATCTGGATGGTCTTAGAGTTAATACTTTTCTTAATGCCCACTAATTCTTTAATACTCATTCCTCTTAACCCTAAATTTAACCCTATTCTATTTAACGATGATGAACAGTTAATCTACTTCCCAGAGCTTTTTTAACAAAGATGATAATGAAAGAATCTCTGTTTGCTCAGGAACTGCATTCCAAAAGAAGCAGTCTTTTGATGCTTATCCAGCACACCTTCCAGGTCTGACCAGTGGTGAATCCTGTCATTCACCACTAATTTTTTTGTGGCTGGCTGAGGAATTCTGAGGAATTCTGGGAGTTGAAGTCCACAAGTCTTAAAGTTGCCAAGGTTGAGAACCCCTGCAAGTTTAGAGAGCCTCAGTCCATCATAAGTCCCCATTGGAAGTTGACATTACAAGTAGTATCACATAATGTGCTCCTGCAGATCTGTTAGTCCCCACAAAATTCACCCAATTTTTATTTGCTGAAAACTCCAACCCCTTGTATTTCTTCTCTGGCTGTCTTCTGCCTCCTTTCAACATGTCACCAGGCGTCAGGAAAAACATTCCCCAGTCAAACCACTCAGCAGGAATGAGTTTGACTTATTTAGCTGTTCTGTTTGTTAACTTCCCACAGACCATTAGAATTTTTGATTAGCTAAATATTTCATATACATGTATTTTTTAATTTTTTAAATATATATATTTTGTTGTTGTTGTTAATTGCGAAGTCGTGTCCGACCCATCGCAACCCCATGGACAATGTTCCTCCAGGTCTTCCTGTCCTCTACCATCTTCTGGAGTCCATTTAAGTTCATACCTACTGCTTCAGTGACTCCATCCAGCCATCTCATTCTCTGTCGTCCCATTTTTCTATTGCCCTCAATCTTTCCCAGCATTAGGCCCTTCTCCAGTGAGTCCTTCCTTCTCATTAGGTGGCCAAAGTATTTGAGTTTCAACTTCAGGATCTGGCCTTCTAAAGAGCAGTTAGGGTTGATCTCTCTCTCTCTCTCTCTCTTCCTCTCTCTCTCTCTCTCTCTCTCTCTCTCTCTCTCTCTCTCTCTCTCTCTCTCTCACACACACACACACACACACACACACACACACACTGAAGCAGTAGGTGTGAACTTAAATGGACTCCAGAAGATGGTAGAGGACAGGAAAACCTGGAGGAACGTTGTCCATGGGGTCGTGATGGGTCTTTCACAATTAACAACAACAACAAATATATATATATATACACACACACACACACACACACACATACATATACATATATATATATACATATATATATATAAACGTACATACATATATATACATACACACACACACACACACACACACACACACACACACACACACTTGAAGACACCAGTGAGGAGGCAAAAACAAAAGTCCACTTCGTATTTTTGGATCTTCTTTTGTATATTGGAGTGAGAAAAGCAGGGCTGCTGTAAATTAAATTCTGGGTTTGGACTTACATGTTTATGCCAATAATGAAACAGAGAGAATGAAGCTTTTTAAGTCTCCTCATTCTTTTTAAGTCTCCTCTCAGTAACTGTTTAAAAATTCCCCTTGAAGATTGGAGAAATGAAAAAAAAAAATAGTTGGTAGAAAGCAGACAACAGAATTGTCAATAGAAATCCTCCCCTTTCTTATACAATATATAACTTTCACCAGTTGATTTATATTAACTGTATGATTTTCAATATTTTCCAAGTTTTTCAAAGTGTTGCTGATTTTCTTGACCACTTATGCTTCCCAGCTATGATGCAAATTACTTGATGAAACTGGGCAGAGTGATATTTTTGGAATAAATTTTTGACCCAGTTACCCAATTCCTAGATTTCCTGATCAGATTTGCACATTTTGTTTTAATTTTTCCTGGACTGTTTTGCTCCTTTGATTGGAAAGTGTATGTTTTGGCTATCTGCTAATTAGGAACGTTTGGGGAATATAGGCATGCATTTCCTTTGGCTGGCACTTTGTCTGCATGTCAGTAGGAAAAGGCTGGAAAAACAGATCTCGTCCTAATGCAGCAAAAATAACTGCAGAAAAATAGGTTAGAGTTATTAACTATATAAGGCTCTCAATAGAAGAGTTTGCTGAACAAAAGGTTGAGTCAGAGTTTGAAACATAATAGAATATAAGGGCTGAAATGCAGTTGGAGATCATCTAGTCTCCAACCACCTGCCCAATACAAGAACTCATTAATGCGGTATTCTCATCAGCAGTCTGTTCAGTCTCAGCTTCAATACTCCCAAGAGAGTCTATCAGATTCTGAAGCAGTCTGTTCCATTGTTGAACAACTTTTACTGTT